AATGTGGAAAACATTACCATCTATTTACCTTATGACTGTATATCCATGCTTAGATGCCAAGGAGCTCATAAAGTAACCGACTATGACTAGTAGTAATCAGATAGAGATTAGAAATGCATGTGCAAACATCTTAATGTCAGTTGTATTAAAAATAAATTTTTCTGTATGAAACTTTGTATTTTAATAATGAAATGGAGATCTTTTTTAAAGGGAGATCTTTTCTAAAGATTCAAATGTCACTTAATTTTATGTCTTATCGGGTTTATACTGAGTCCAATATTAATTCAACTGTAAACCTAAAATTTTACAGCCAGTTTTGAAAGAGGTGCATCTTAGCTCTGGAAATTGTTATTGAATATGTCAATGCTGTTGTAATGAAATGTTTTTTCTAAGTATGTAGTTATTAAATAAATAATTTTTAAAAATCCATTACCCATTTTAAATTCGCAGCCAGTGACTTTAAGGGTGGGGTTTGGGTGTGAGTTGGGGTTACCCATTCCAATTCATTATCCGGCCTTTCTAGAATCCTCACGCCTTTGATTTCTCTTACCTTGTCCACATCTGTTTTCAAATTGTACCTTGTGAGAGAGACCCTGCTCCAAGCATCTCAGGAAGCAACTCCTTGTTTGTCTCCATAACCAGCACCCTGTTACTTTCCCTGTACTATGTGCCAACATCTAAGATACTTTGTTTTTATCTTTTGATTGATTCAGTGTCTGTCTTCCCCTACCTGGCACATAAGCTCCATAGGAGGAGAGGTTTGCTTATTTATTAATGGACAATCCCTAGCGTTTAAAGAGTGCCTTGTAAAAGAATAAATACATGACAAAGACATAATTCTGGACCACATCCCTGTAAATTTTAAATCAAATATCTCTTTCTGAGGAATCTGTCTGCTGCCAGAATGTTAGTGGGTTTCTAAGTTATCATTATGAGGGAAAATTTATGTTCCAAGATGTCTGTGGGTGTAGCTATTATTACCCTGAAGAGAGATGTGGTATGCCTCTCTTTCTGTAAGTACCGCATTGACAAGCAGTGTTATGCCCCAGGGAGATTCCTGTCTGCACAGGATCTCATTATTTTTCCTATTTCCAATTACTGTTACAGAAAGAACTATTGCTTGTATGCATTCCCAAGGAGCCTGTGTTTATGTTGGATAGCAAGTGCAGTAAAGCCATGGCGGTGACATGGGGTCTGCAGAAGGTCCAGGTCTTCCCTCTGCCTGATGCCCTTGAGGAGACATTCATATTGTTCTAGGCATCTTTTGGAGTGAGCTGGTCCTTAAGGTGTATGATAGAGTGACCAGATAATTTGACCCCTCCCTGCCTCCATGCCTGTTAGTGCGGCTCTTTCTCTGAACTTGGCAATAGGACTTACTTGGGTCAACAGCACAAGAACACAGCAAAGGTACAAACGTTTCACACTTGGGTGTTTCCTCTTCTGCTCTTCCCCAGAGCCCCCTCTGCAGGGAGAACATACACTGGCTAGGCTAGCTGGCTGGAAGTCACACAGAGGACAGCCAAATCATCCCAGCCAAGACCATCCCAGTCCAGTCAGCCCCCAGCAGGCCTGTCAGGGACCACAGCTGAGACTGAAGTCCAGTCCAGACCTACAGAAGTGCTGGGGCAGCCCATGGACGGGGAAGACTACTAAACAGAGTCTCTAGCAATAAAGCAATCTTTGTAACCTCCTCTGCAAATTATTTCCAGCCCTTGGGTAAAAATTTGAGGAATGGGGTAGGGAGATTTTCTGCTCCCATTTGAGTTCAAACAATAGGAGAATATCTTTATCCCACAATTAAATGCCCATTGGAATATAATAATCAAAATGCTAACAATGGAAGCTTCTGTCTCCTGCTGAGAATGGCTGTGGGGCCTGAGACTGTGTGGTGGGAAATGGACGTGATTGGGGCGCTCCCTCTCCCTCTCCCCTCTTGCCTGGCTCAGCAGAGCGAGGAATTGGGAATTAAAACAAGATACTTGTATGGGGCAGGGTGCTCATGTCCATACTCCAGTGCTTGTAGGCCCTAGTGGCCTTTTGAAGCCAACTCACTTTCTCTTGGAATTCTGTGGGTACCTTTTAGCCCCTTTCTCTCCAGGAACCTCCAGTCTAAACCTCATTATGTGGACAATTCATCTTAGTAATTAATCAATTAATTAATTTCCAGTCCTGGAGATTAAATCCAGGATCTTGTACAAGTGAGGCAAGTGCTATTCCACTGAGCCATATCCCTAAGTTCCTCTTTCCTTTCTTCCTTCCTTGCTTCCTTCCTTCCTTCCTTCCTTCCTTCCTTCCTTCCTTTCTTTCTCTTTCTTTCTCTCTCTCTCTTTCTTTCTTTTCTCTCTCTCTCGCCCCTCCCTCCCTCCCTTCTTTCCTTCCTTTCCTTCTTCCTTCCTTTTTTTTCTTCCTTTCTATCATTTAAAATTTTTATTTGACTAAAAATTTGACATTCGTAACTGGGTGTGGTGGTGCACGCCTTTAGTTCCAACACTTGGGAGGCAGAGGCAGAGGCAGGCATATTTCTGTGAGTTTGAAGCCAGCCTGGTCTACGTAGCAAGTTCTAGGCCAGCTGGGGCTACAGGGAGACCCTCTCTCAAAAACACCAAAAGAATGTTTTTTTTAAATATTTATTTATTTATTTATTTATTTATTTTTATTGGAGCACACGTGCTATGCAGCATGCATGTGGGGGTCACAGGACAACTTGTGAGAACTGGTTCTCTCCTTCCACCATGAGGATTTCAGGGATTGAACTTGGTCATCAGGCTTGGTGGCAAGTGCTTTTACCCAGAGATCCTTCATCTTGCTGACCCCTGTTGTAGTTTTGGTTCCATGACTCAGCCATCAACCCTCTGTTTACATGTGAACAAACAAGGGACTTGCAGAGCTTCTGAGTGTGGAGGAAAGTGTTGATGTCTGAAATTATCTAAGAACCTCCTACTCCCAGAGAGTTTAAGAAATGAGGTGATGTTTGTTTATTTGCTTCTTTGAAGATAGGGTCTTACCCTGTAACCTTCGCTGGCCTGGAACTCACTGTGTAGGCCAGGCTGGCCCTGAACATCACAGAGAGCCTCTGCCTCCTGAGTGCTAGTATCAGAAGCATGGACTACCCTGCCTGGCTTGAAGTGAGGTGATGTGAATGCAGTTGCAAAGGGGCCCAAAACATGATTACTGTTTAAACAATTAAGATGAATAATTCTTTTTTGTTTTTGAGACAGGGTCTTGCCACAGTTGGTCTGGAACTCACTATACAGATCAGGCTGGCCTCGATCTCACAGAGATCTGCCTGCCTCTGCCTCCCAAGTGATGAGACTGAAGGCATGTGTCATCATGCCTGGCTTTAAGATGAATAATTCTTAATGAATCTAGCATCATGCAGTTTCTGTTTCTTTAACTTTTCTACACATTTAGGGAAATTAAATTCATTTTGCAGGTAAATCTAATTTATTTCGCATGCAGAAATAAATGTAATTTAGTTCATATGTAATATGAAATCAAGAAAATATTTGCTATTCATTTCATTTATACCAGAAGTCATGTTAATACTGAATTTTAAAATTCCTTTTAAATATCATAACTAGCTACATAAAAATATACCTGGAACAATGATCTAGTTTTAGTTTCAACAATTTCAGAATTTTGCTTCATAAAAGGAAATTAAAAGTGACTCAAAGCAGGACGTCAGAATGTGTTGCAGACATTTTTGCATTTGAAATTCTGCCTCATTTTAAGAAAACTGGGCTCATGAACCAAAGGTGTTTGGCATTCTAAGGACTGACTATAACAGAAATATTTACCTGAGTCTTTTTTTGCTCCTCACTGCCTGAGGGATCTTTCTAGAAATTCTGTTTTGATTAGTTCACAACAAAGGGGAAGAAAATACCACCTGTCTGTATTCCTCAAATTTTATCTTTCTTTGGAAATTTAGCCATTTCTCACACCTGACAAAATTTCTTAAAGTTGCCTTCTGTTCTAGAATTATCCAGAGAGAGTAAAAGAAAAGCAAGAAGCAAAAAGATTTTTCTCCAAATTAGTTTATAGTTTGATAAAAACCAGTTCATTGAAATGCATATAAACATAAAATGTTTCATCTGTTATACACATACAGTCTTTCAGATCAATACAAAAGCTTTAAGATTTTATATGTGTTTTAAGAATGCAAGTCTGTTTCCTCAAGCTCTATTCAAACAAACCACCTTGCATCTTAGTATTGCTTTTTCTACAATACGTAGTCTCAGAGCTTTGGGGTACATCTGATATGTGAATCACAAATCTCTGTCCATTGTTTAGGGTTACGAGAGCTTCTTGACCCACAGGAAGGCTGAGTTTAACAGCGCTCTCGGTGGCCTTGTCTTCAAGTAATACCTGGATGAGCTGAAGGGGGGTGTGTTCAAAAGGAAAAGGTAAAAGACAACGTTATCCTGTTGCAGAACCGACCATACGATTTCTTCTAGCACATCTATGCCCCCACTTAGGGACCTAAAGAGGACATTTGTGTACTTAGTTTGCCCTATACTAAGGAGATCTTAATTTCTTAGGTAAATCCTCACAGTCTGGATGATCCACACACCCTTCATGGGAAGACTCCCAGTCTGAGGATGATTCAAGAGAGACTGGGCTTGGGAAGCAGGCAGGCTACCTTTAGGAAAAAGAATTGGAGTGAAGGTCCACAGTTATTGAAAAACCCCAGGAGCTGACAACTTCCCACTGACTCTCTCCATCATTCTGAAAGTATGTAATGAGATTGGGATGGGGAGACCCTGAGCATACTCAGTCATCCTACATGGGTTGAATTGACACCTAGCTGGGCAGTAACAGATTTGAGAGGTTCCTAGGTTCTGATTTAGCTCAGGTGCCAGCTCTCACTATCCTGTCCAGGCTAGGAGAACAGGGAGAGTGCTACGCTTTCCTTAGCTCTGGGTAACTTGGAAGATTTTCAAAGCTTTCGACATAATTACTTTAGAATAAAGTAACTGCATCTTCTTGGCTTACTTTCATCAGCAACCCCCCATAAGCTACTATATTTTTTACAAAGATAAGATAACATTAGTCGCAAGGTTTATGAAAGTATGTTTCTCTAAATTCAACGATAACCATCACCACATAATGAAAAGATGTTTCAGTCCTTCGCCTCAAAAAACTGTCTTTGGAGGTTTGGGCATGCTTTAGAGGCAGAGACAAGATCTCTGTGAGATCAAGGCCATCCACGGCTACATAGTGAGACCCTGTGTATGTGTGTGTGTGTGTGTGTGTGTGTGTGTGTGTGTACTCTGCTTTAACCCTGAGCATATGAAAGTGAAGAACCATAGTCTGTCTTTTTAAGAGACTGTCCTTACTTAATGTCATTAATATTTTTTACTTCATTCTTAAGCATTCCGTGACATCTCATTCTTTTGAACCTTGCTACAATGCACAAGACTGACAGATGGATGTGTCAGTCTGGAATGCTGACTTCAGTTGTTATCTGAGGTGCAGGGCAGCACTAAATTGTTCTGAGAATGAGGCTGTCACAGATGTGCAGGGCACGGGGGCATTAACTCACAGCAGATGCATGCAGATGGGGCACAGAGGATGTGCTTCTCTTTGTTGACGATGAGTGCACATGCTGAATAATGAATGCAGTGGAAATGAGAGGAGCGTGACTTTGGTGGTGTTTAAGTCATTACAGCTAATTCAGCAGGCAGGAAGGAACAGAAGCAGGTTTAATTAGTCTCTAATGCACATTACCTTGCATTATCTGTCATTCATCTGCTCATACTGCTTTATTATGAAGCTCAATTAAGTATTTAATATCTTCTCTATTGTTTCCACCAATTAAACATAGGTCAGAGGAGCTATGGGATTAGGTGCAGTGTTAAGGAGACACTTGGATTGGGACGCTATATTAGAGAAACAACAGTGACTAATGGTGATTGGGGACCATGTTCTAAGGAATTTTCTAAGCATTTTTAAATGATTTACTTATTTAAGAGCCCTATGGAACTAGATATTATCCACATGAATTAAACAACTTGCCCAGGGTTTTTGGGTATAGGTGGAAGAGATGGACCTTGGAATTTGTGTGCAAGAATTGCTCATTTATCAGACTTGAAGATATTCTTCTTTACTCCCTAGTCACTGATTTTGAACCTTGGTAGACTACTCTCTGAAGAGAAAATGCTGGGAAAGACAGTCTTGGAAAGAGATCCTTAAGGGAGTGAGTCCTGCTCTACAATAATTGCTGAGGCGACCTTGGGAAAACTCACTCCACCATTCATGAGCTTCAGTTGTGAAATATGTGAAACATAGATAATGACAGCACCTTTCCCACCCAGCTAAGTGATGCTCCATCCTTGCTCTCTACCCTTGCTCTCCATCCCCATTCTCCATCCCTGCTCTCCATCCCTGCTGGAGATCAGAGAATGGGAGATCCCCATTCTTCATCCCCATTCTCTAGCTCTGTTCTCCATCCCCATTCTCCATCCACAGTTTCCATCCCCCTTCTCCATCCGCATTCTCCATTCTCATTCTCCATCCGCATTCTCCATCCCCATTCTCCATCCCCAGTTTCCATCCCCCTTCTTCATCCGCATTCTCCATCCGCATTCTCCATCCGCATTCTCCATCCCTGCTCTCTATCACTGCTCTCCATTTCCGCCCCAGCCTTGCTCTTTTTTCCATTCTAGCTGTGGCTGAGGAGGTACGAGCTTAGTGGTGTTTACCTTACTGACTAAGAGAGACCACCAAAACTTTGACAAAGATCCTTCCTGGCCAAACTTTACCTGAACCTTCTCTAAGACAATCTGTGTACTTCTAAGGAACCTGGATAAGTCAGTATAGTGAGATCCTCCCACCCTTGATCACCCTCGATATCTGATCAAGTTCCTCAGCCACCAACATAGCCCAGGAGAAATCTGGTCGGCATGGCTTATCCTCAGTGACAGCACTGCCAATCTGATTTACCCAGAATCCTCCTGACTTCTGACCCTCTTCTAGTGACTTTCCACTCACTGGCCCCTGCCTTCTCCTTGTCTACACACTGTCTCTTGCCCATGCTGTTCTCAGAGTTGAAAAGACATTGTTACAGTATTCTCTGTACTTATCACAGTGGTCCTGAATGAAGTGTTGCTTATCATGTTTTAACAAATATCACTGAATGATATTTTTTTCTTTAAATATTGTCATTTGTAGTCCTATCTTCTCTGCTCGGCCAGTGAGGAGAAAGAATTGGAAGCTGAACACTGCAGCCCAGCACTAATCCTGGTCCTATCGGCTCTACAGTTTTCCAAAATAAACGCAGATGAGCTTGCTGCTGGCCAGTCCTTGAGGGGCACCACTAAGCCTCAGTGTATTCTCTAGAGGATCGGGGACCAAGGAGAGGCCTCCTCTGGCATAGCCTTTTCATGAGTCCCTCCTTCAGATGGAACTGGGGCTCCCATCTGCTAGCACACCAGAAACACTGGCTCCCTGAATGCCTTAACTGTTCCCAGTGCTTCTCTCTCTAAGGAGGTCCAGCTCCCACTTGCAATCAGGTCTCTGACTTAGGAGCCAATGTTTTATTACTACATGATTCATTGACCATACTCACAGAAGAGCTGAGATCTCCTTTAGAGACATACTCTGTTAACAGGGCCGTTCCACTAGAGTTGCCCTTGGCAGAATTAGTTCCTTTGCCCTTTGAAAGGGTTGCTGCCTCTCCCTAACCCTTTAATACCTGCTTATCTTTTGCCAGGTGTTCTAAATTCTAAAGAAAAGCCTCACTTAAATTAAGATATTAACTGCTAAGTATGTTCTTAGATTTATAGACCCCAGAACGTCTGGTGAACACTAGTGTGTATAACGGCATTCCGGTCTTTAGTTCTGCGGCTAACACAAAGCACCAAAACTGATGTGAGCTTAACTTGAAGAAAAGTAGGATGTCTGTTTCTAAAAAATGCAGAGCCAGACTGGGGTGGTTGAGATCTATTGCAATATTCTGGACAAGAAGGAAAAAGGAGACATTCACCATGGGTGGTGAAGGCCTGCTTAGGGTTGTGTTTCTCTCCCTGCTCCTCCTTTCCCTCTCCGCAGAAGACCTTACACTCCGGAGCCCCTCAAGATGGAGCCTTGAGGTTGAGGGCTCCTCTATCTTCTCAAGACACTGGCCTTTGAATAAACCTGACTCCTTCCTACCAGTGTCAATGTGAATATTGGCCTTTCAAAGAGTGAGCAGCCACACTTGGGCATCTAATTCTACTGCGCAGAGGTTATTGAGTAGAACTGGATAGACAAGTTTACTGTTCCAAGAAGAAAGAAGCAAAGAGCAAGCAGAGACAGACAGAAAAGAACCTGAGACACCTGGGACATGTTTCCTTGGCTCATGTTCGTACTGCTTTGTGTTGCAAGCTGCCTTTTTGAAGTGTTCAACAACAGTTTGTACAGCATCTTTGTACTCTGGAGAGCTTAGAATGAGAACTTGTTTGGGAATGAAAGTTCCCTGGAAGGTTCTGATTATCTTGAGGACTATAGAGTGTGACTCATTAACTGGCTCAGGGACAATGAACTTGCTTCTAACAGTCTCCTAAGCCCAACTCCAGAGGGGAACTTGTGCACACAAAAGGAAGGCTAGATACAGTGACGGAACACTAAATGTGTATAGAGTTTTGAGAAGTTAGAGGCTGGAAAGAGAACTCAGCTGGTAAAGTGCTTGTCTTGTAAGCACAAGTACATGAGTTTGATCTCCAGAACCCAAATCCCAACCCCCCCCCTAAAAAATTCAGGTAGGGAGGTAGTAACAGGTAGATTCCTAGGACCTGCTAACCACCTAACTATCCTACTTTGCAACTTCCAGGTCAGTGATAGATTCTGTCTCAAAAAACCAAGCTCCTCTTGCTATGGTTTAGAGCCCCTTTCTGACCCCTCCAGCCTGTGTTCTACTCTTCTCCGGGCATGGACTGCTCTCCTCTAATCTAGTGATGTGACATGATGTGATGTGGACGTGAGATCTGGCAGACCTGGGCTCATCTCTGTTCCACTCCTTTCTTGTACTGAGTGGGTGTGTGACTTGGTGTAAATCACTTAGTTTCTCAGAACTCCGGTTTCTTCATCCATTATTCAATAACAGTTAGAGCACAGGTATTATGTAGGGTTGTGTGCTTTTGAACTAAAGTAAGGGAAGGTCTTAGAGTGGGCGCTGGACAAGTAGCAGCTCTTATCTTTTTTTTTAAATTTTTATTTTTCCCTAACAGGACCTTCCCAGTCCCACTTGGCCTGGATGTCACTATGTGGACCAGACTGGCCTCAATCTCACAGAGCTTCACCTGCCTCTGTCTCCTGAGGGCTGGGATATAAAGATTTTTTTTAAGGTATAAAATTCAGTCTTTTTAACATCACTTTACTTAATGTTTCCTTTGTTGAAGGTGGTGTTTTCAGTGTGTAGCCCTCACTTTAGTGGTTAGCAGTGATGGGGTGCTAGGCAGAATGCAAGGGAATTAAAGGTCCTCCTGAAACACCTCACCTTCCCAGGCCTCAACTGAGACATATAAATATCAATATGTCAGCCACAATTAGAGATCCGTATAGACAAAAAGGTAGATTGCGCTGAGGAATGATACCTGAGGTTGATCTCTGGTCTACACACACACACACACACACACACACACACACACACTTAAAAGAGGCAAATTTCAAGTGCCGTAATGGGAAATCTCCAAGCCACTTGTAACTCATTTTCTAGCACTGGCCTTCCATGGCTGAATTAAAACAAACCGGCACTGGCCTCTCAGCAAATGATAAATATCCACAGACTGCTTGCACTTAATAGCCAGTAGCAAGGTTAAAGACAAGCTAATGGCAGAGACTTCGCACTTGTTACAGAGCTAAAGCATAAATGTAACTAGTAGTTCCTTCCTGGCCCAGAACTACCAAAGCTAAAAGGTAATCTAATGGCAATAAATATAGTTATTGTTCCTTCCTGTCTTAGACACCCCTGAGTTCTAAGCCACACAGGTTAAATGAAATAACACTGACGTTAAATATTTACTCCTTCATTGGCCCAAAAGGAAGGAGTGCTGTCCAAACCTTGTGCCACCCATAAGAAGGCCAATCCCATGGTCCCTTGAAAAAAACATAAGGAACAAAGTCCCTGGTCCCCCAGTTCTTTTCCCTGTTTCAGTGAGCCCATGTTGCTCCTCAAGATATTTTTTCATTTAAAAAAATATTTTACTAACCTTCTTGGATGTTTAACAGACATACCTTGAGATCTATACTAATTGGGTCAGAGGGATACAAAGGACACTTTTTGCTCCTTGCCCTCCTAGGTCGATTAGTTCCCAGGGACTATGAGCATCTCGCAAAATGTCCTGTACTGGTGGTGGGTCATCTGACCTCTTGATCAAGGAAGCCAAGAGACCCCACCAGATGGACTTGAACCAGGGTCCAGTCTATAAAGAGGAGGGTCAACA